GCCCCTGCTCGCTCCGCTAGCCTACCCTGGAGCTCGTTGCCCTCGCGATATTTAGTAGGAGCGGTTTGGAGACTGAACTAGCAGTCCTGCCTACTGCTGGATGCGGAATCTCTCTCGGAAGGAACAGCGTAAGCATGTGGTAGTGTGCCCTAGGTGTAAAATTAGTTGTTTAAGAAATGTAATACAACGCCTTTCACCCCAATACTCAAAGAAGACATCTGGGCAGGTGTGAAACCTTGGCGTCAGGATGTTTCATTGAAGTGCTGATCAAGGCCGGGCATCCTCTTTGTGAAACAAATGTCCATTTGACAGGAAATGCCAATGTAGAACAAAGCATGGATGTGTTGTACCTGATCCCAAACGATTCAGCAATGGGGGCTGTCTCTGCTCAAGTTGTTGTTTCTTACTGCTCACAATAATGGAGGTGTGTGCTTCTTCATCAGGCTAATAACTGTGTACAGAAACCTTATTCACGTATAAGGCTTGTGCAAGTACCTTCTATGTGTTACATCACAACAGGTGACTTGAAATATACAGTTCTTTGAGCCTATATGTGTGTGTGCACAGCCCATTGTGTGTGTAGCAACAAATATATAGATCATAAAACAAAAAAATCAATTTCATTCCTTAACAGCTGAACGGGCCTGTGTGGTCGGTGACCTTCTGGTGGTGGCTGTCCAGGCCGGAGGAGGAGTGGGTGCCGGAGCTGCTGAGCTACGGGCTGCGCGGTGGCGGTGGTGCTGGGGTGCACCTTCCGCATGCCCTACGGGCGATACTCGTCAGCGCTGTTGGGCGGCTCGGCACCGGCCCGCCTGACCTGGGTGGTGCAGGAGGCACCCTCCTTCCTCCTGCTGCTCCTCCTCGTCCCCCACAGCGACGGCGCCCAGCTCCATCGCTGGCCCAACCGCATCCTCCTGGCCCTCTTCCTCGCCCACTATGCCTACAGGTGCTCCTGCCCCACCAAGATTATTTATGTGTTATTATTGGAGTTACTCCGCAGGAAGCCCTCCCTCACCAGGCCCCGGGGGGCTCTCCCCTGAGTACTCCACATTTGCAAGGTGCCTGGGCATGTGAGCTACTGGCATTTCTGAGCTAGTGGCATTGCGGGGGGGGGGACGGTGCACTGCAAAATAAGCTGGGGCCAGTCCTGATAGGAACTCTTGGTCTGGGGCAAGAGATACTCTGTATTCTTGGTGCTTGGGGGGGGCACCAGTGGGAGGGCTTCTAGTGTCCTGGCCCCACCTGTGAATCTCCTGATGGTACCTGGTATTTTTGGCCATTGTATGACAGAATGTTGGACTGGATGGGCCACTGGCCTGATGCAACATTGGCTTCTCTTATGATCTTATGTTCTTAATTAAGTCCTTGGAATGGAGACCACTGAGGAAGTCCAGGTTGCTATGAAGAGGCAGGTATTGGCAGATCACCTCTAAATGTCTCTTGCCTTGAAAACTCAACAGGGCTGCCATAAATCGGCTGTGACTTGACAGCACTTTTCACCACTATGGAAGAGGAAATGGTTACTCTGCACCTTTCCAAAGAAAGTGCTTAATTCCTCACACTATGTACATTAGGGGTTTATCAAAAATACGTGGTATTTTGCACCATTCAAGTGCTGTGATATTGTGAACACATGAGGGTGCCTTATACTTGCTCTATACTGATGATCCACATTTGCTGAGTTGTTCACACAGGGGGAACACATGGAGAAAACACACGTGCATATGCAGGGATCAGTGATGCTGCTTTCTAAACATTGCAGATCATGGAGAGAGAGAGAACATACCTGTAGCTGACAGTGTGGAGCATGAAACGAAAATGTATCCATGGAAGAGCTACAGCTTAAAAATGCCTGTCCTCTCCTGCAAGTCATAGAGTCATAGAATTATACAGTTGGAAGGGATCTCCAGGTTAGTAGCGATAAGCATTTCCCTGGGCATGTAAGAAAGGGTCAAGAACTAAACACCGAGGCAACCCTTCCTGCCCTCCCTCTCATGATCTGCCCAAGCTCACAGAATCTGCATTGCTGTCAGATGGCCATCTAGCCTCTGTTTGAAAACCTTCAAAGGAAAGCCCCCCCCCTCCCAAGGAAGCCTGTTCCACTGAGGAACTGCTCTAACACTGATATTAAGGGCACTTCCCACTGAGGGAACCAACAACAGATATGTCTGGGTAGATCTTAGTGTATCCACAAGTCTATACCAGGAGAGACAGACCTTAAGTTTAAACGACATTTTGGAAAACACACAATGAAGGAGGAGGAGCCTGGATTTATCCCCCGCCTGTCAGCTAGCTGCCATTTTTGTGTCTTCTGTCCTTCCCCGTTCCCGCTTGCTCGCAGCTCCGCAGCTTGCAGTAAACATGCCAGGGAGACTGTGGGAGCTAGACGCCGTTATCAGTCTGGCCTTGTGAGGTAGGGCTTGTGGTTCACTTTTGGTGTGAAACTTTCTGCTCTCAGGAAACCCTGCGACTCTCTCGCTCATTATGTAATCTTCATTTGCTTAGCCATTTGCCTTGCCCAGCTATATAATGGGATGTTCCCGCCTTCTAGTTATTCCTAAAAATAATCCTGTGGATATGATACCAGTTTTGTAATCTAATAAAACATAATGATTCTTAGGAAACGTGTGTAAAGAGTTACTTGCTGTGGAACCTGACACCGCCCTTCACTACCCAAAGGAGTCTCAGAGTGGCTTACGATTTCCTTTCCCTTACCCTCCCCACAACAGACACTTTCCCTCTAAGCTGAATTAGTGTGAGCTAGCTCACAGTTTTTTAGCCTCTGGCTCACACATTTTTATCTTCGCTCAGGAAGGAGGGCTCCAGAACAAACTAATTAATGCAGCAAACAAATCGATCACTCACAACTTTAATGCCAGTAGCTCACAAAGATTTTTTGCTCACAAGCCTCCACAGCTTAGATGGAACATTGCCTGTGAGGTAGGTGGGGCTGAGAGAGCTCTCCCAAGAACTGCCCTTGAGAGAACAGGTCTGAAAGAACTTGTGTCTGATCCAAGGTCACCCAGCTGGCTCCATGTGGAGGAGGGGGGAATCAAACTCAGTTCTCCCAGATTAAAGTCCGCGCTCCTAACCACTACACCAAACGGGATCTCAATGCTATCCTAAGCACTAATCTGAGCTCACTGATTTCAGTGGGCAGTTCTCTACTTAGGATTGCACATGGGATCCCCAAAAGTGAAGTTTGTCCATAATACTGAGAAGAGACTCAGCAATCCTCCTTGGGCTACCTATTAAGAAGAGGCTGTGACTGAGGGAATTTTAAACTTCTACCTTTCTCCTATTCCTACTGCAGATGCTGTTCTAAGAAGGAGGGGTTTCTTTCTTCAAAGGGGCACATTGTGCACTGGAATTCATAGGACTATTTTAACTGGGGCAAGTGATGCTCTGTATTCTTGGTGGGGGGTTTTTTTTGGGGGGGGACCAGTGGGAAGGCTTCTAGTGCCCTGGCCCCACTGGTGGACCTCCCGATGGCACCTGGTATTTTTGGCCACTGTGTGGCAGAGTGTTGTACTGGATGGGCCACTGGCCTGAGCCAACATTGGCTTCTCTTATGTTGTTATGTTCTTAACTGCAAAAATAAGAAACTGAAAGAGTGCAAACAGTGAAAATAGTGCATCTCTCCCCACCCTCACAACCCCTTCTGCCTCAACTCCAGAGAAGCTCCTTTACTGCGAAGGGGAAATTTACAGTGGGTTGTTTCAAGGATTCCATAGGAAAGGAGAGCAGGGTGGCAAAGAGGGCGAGGGATGAAGAAAGGAAAGATCATGTCACCAGCCACATCAGAAACCACACCTCCAAGCCAGGTGAGCCAACAGCTCTACTTCAATCATTCACAAGGTTTGTGTCGCTATTGCAATACGAGCTCCTAAAAATCACCATAAACAAACATTTTGCAAAAAAAACCCATGGGATGCCAGTGGGGAAAAGTGAGGAATTACAACAGTTCAAGGAGAAAATCCCGTGGGTTCATACCAAGGCACCGTGTAAATGGTACCAAGCCAGTAAAAAGGTTGCCCTGCATACGACAGCTGAAGGTGTGTCCCGACTCCCAAGCAGAATACAGGGTAGATTTTCTCATCAGAGAAACTGGTTGTAAGTACCGTGGTAAATAAATTATTATCAACGTAAAAAACTACCAGACCTTTTGCATAGTCCAGAAAGACCTTGATGTTCCCCACCTTGAAGGCTGGGTGAAAAAGGGAGGGATATGGGCAGTCACCCACACAATTTCCTATAAGCCAAGGCATGCAGTTCAAGTCAGGAACAAAGTTACTGCTGTACACAGACTCTCTGACCAACCCTAACGACCAGACTTCACCTGCCATCACCCACACCTCCCACCAGTGTTGTCCAGAGGTGAATCCCTCATGGCCTCGCACGCAGGCACGGGCATGATATATGTCTTGGAAGCGAGGTATATTTTGCGGTAGAGAATCCAGCTTTACACTCTTCTGATCAGGATAAATGATGAGTCCAGAAGAAGCTGAGTCTCGGTCGAGAATCACATTGGCTGCAGGGGAGGAGACAGAGACACATAAATGTGCATAGCAATGCTCTGTGTGTGTGTGGTGGAGCGAAAAGTCACAAAGCGGACTCTGACGGCTCTTCTGCAATCTGCACTGTCATTTCTGTGGCTGGTGCCGTTATTGCTTTGTTTTGTTTTTCTTTTCCGCACGTGTTTTGCTCCCTCCGGTGGTCAATTCAATATTACATTGATGTGTGTCTGGCATAAAAACCTGCAGTTTAAATCTGCGGGGAGATAACACCAGACACACAGAGGTGTAATACTGAATCAACCACTAGAGGGAGAAAAACACTTGCAAAAACCCCAAAACACTCCCCCCCCACAAACACATACACATAAGGACACACAAGCAACAAAAATGAGAGTGCGGAAGAGCCCCAAGCCAAAGGCAGGAAGACATTTGTTGCTAGCAACAGCTGGCAGAAGGCAAGGGTGGTCTTGTTTTTGTTTTGTTTTTTAAAAAACTCTATTAGGATATCACAATAAGTAAACTTATAGTTCATATAACAAGTTATTTCATATCCTTTTTTCTTCCACATACCCCCCCTACTGACTTCCCACAGTGCTCAAACTTCCAATTCTCTCTTAGTTCACCCCCTTTCCCAATTCTTTAATATTATATATTTATTACAGGTAACGTATCTCTTTATCTCTAGATCTATATATGTTTAAACTTAATCTACATAACTCTCCGTCTTAATTGTCTAAGCAAAATAAATTGTTTTTAACATCCCAATATTTCTCCATATAATCTTTGAAGTCCTTCCAGTCTGCAAAAAAGTCTTCTGCTTCTTGATTTTTAAGCTTTCTTGTCATTTTGTCCATTTCAACCATAAAAAGTAACTTTTTTAACCACTCCCAAATATCAGGAGTTTTTTCTTGCTTCCAACATTGAGCGTACGTCATTCTAGCAGTTGTAATCATATACCACATTAAAGTCCGTTTTGCAATATTAACTTCTTCCATTCTAAGTCTCAGAAGAAACACTTCCGGTTCCTTCTTAATTTTGCATTTCATGATTTTTTCCACCTCTGAATGGACCTCGGCCCAGAAACCTTTTGCTTTTTCACATGTCCACCACATATGGTAAAAAGAACCTTCTGTTTTCTTACATTTCCAACATTTGTTTGATAGATTGCTACTTATATTTGCTATCTTTTGGTGGTCTTGTTTTTGAGTCACTCTTGTCAGGTGATTCAATAGGCCAAGTGAGGGTGGAGTGTTGGTGGAGGGGGAGGAGATTGGATTTATACCCCGCCCTTCACTCAGAGTCTCAGAGCAGCTTACAAACTCCTTTCCCTTCCCTTCCCCACAACAGACACCCTGTGAGGTAGGTGGGGCTGAGAGCTCTCCCAGAACTGCCCTTGAGAGAACAACTCTGACAGAACTATGGCTTGCCCAAGGTCATCCAGCCAGGTGCAAGTGGAGGAGTGGGGAATCAAACCCGCATCCCCCAGATTAGAGTCCGCGCACTTAACCACTACACTAAACTGTTGGTGGGAAACAAACCAGGACTAACCCTGGATACTGTTTTTGTACACAATTGGATACTACAATTAAGACTAATGGGTTAATAAACCAGTGTCATATCCCACTTTAGGGAATTCAAGCTAGCCAAAGTGAGCATGGGTGGCACAGACTTGGAGGATCAATTAACTGGTTACATTTGAGTCCAGCAGCACCTTAAATACAACAACATACACAGAATGCACCCCACAGTCCTAAACTGTGCCCTCCCCCTTCAGAGGTTATAAACTTTGTGGATCACACAAGACAGCTCCCTCCTCCCATCTTTGTTGTATCTTCTTTTCCTCTCAAATGGACATTAGGGTTGCTCCTTTAAGGCCCCGGTCACACAAGCGGGATAATCCGCAGGGGACGGGAGGCTTTTTGAGCCGGAGCAAAAAGACGCACGGTAGCGCAATCTCACCTTCCCCCGAGGCTCTGTGCCCAAGCCTCCGGCAGCCGATCTCACCACGTGAAGTAACACAGCAGCAAGGCATTTGTGCGCATGCATGGGACGCCGACGGGCGGTGGCTGCGACGGGCTACCACCGCTTCCTGATCAGACGCCCGAACGCGCCGCACATTATCGGGAAACTAGTACAGGGTTCCCGGTAGCTTTTAAATCTGTGTCATCGGGCCGAAGCTTCGGGTTAGAGATGGGAGTGCAACGTTTCCCTGATGTTCAGGTATGATCGCGCAGCTTTAATCGGCAGGCAAGCCGTCCCTTCCGCGGGGCAATTCGCTGTGTGAAGGGGACCTAACAGAGGCTGAATGGGATGTTATTTGCCAGTTGATGTCATTTGCCTTCATACCATGAAATGTTTCACTTGGCCATTTCCACCCATTAAGCTTTTGTTAAAGAGACAAGCCCCCTTCCCCCCTCAGGGCAATTTTTCTGGGGGAACACGCTGGAACAGAGTTCCGGAACCTCTTTGACAAAATTCTTTTAAAAATGTTTAAAAGCTCATGAGTTTTCTGTATACAGATTGAAAACTTAATTTCCCTCTTGAGAGTTTTCGCACCTGTTGTTTTTTTTTTAAGGAGGGGGTAGCCCTGGCAGCCCTACTGAACATTTAACTGCCTTCAGCATCCCATGAATATTGGGGCCCTGTGAGCATTGTTGAGAGAGGGACTGATTTTGCTGTTTATGGATTTATATCTGTTGACACACACACTATATGAACTGTGCACACACATGTATACCCGTAGGCATAGAGAAAGCTGCTTGCATTACCTACTGTGAGAGATTTCACATAGAGGACACTTGCCTGCATTTTATGTTAATGAGGTTTGCACACATTCAGCTCAAGAGCCTTATGGGAAAGAGAAGCACATTTTAGCCATTGTTAGCAGAAACGACAACTAAGGAGAAGTAACTCCACCATTGCTGAAGGACTTGATGTCACGCAGTATATGGATCTGATCTGCATCTGAATTGCCATTTCCTGTTGGAAGGTGCCTGGTTTGCCTGGGAAAGCCAAGATCTATCTACACATCAAGGGAGATACAGGATGCCAGGACTTCACATCTGACCAGATGACTTTCCATGAGTTAGAGTGTAGAGTTTCAAATATTGCCTAACCCCTAAGGTACCTGCCACTTTCTGCATGCACCAATGAGTGTAGCTATGGGATGGACTTGTAGATAGGTGGGTTTACAGAATGGCAAGGTTGCCACCCACCTGGAGATTCAACTACAAAAAGCAGGGACCATGTGATGGGTCTTTGCTAGCCGCAATCCCCTTGAACAACCCCTGTCTTCTTTCATCCCCTAAAGCCCAGCTTTCTATCAAACAACCCTATTGTCTATTTCTGATATCTTGGTGTGCGCAGCCAAAGAGGTTCACGCCTTGCTGGCTGGTTCTAGCAGGTGTGAATTAGAAACATCCCTAGGTCTTATTTTCTCACCTCTCAATTCTTCATCGCATCAGACAGGGCTTCAGGAAAGATAAGTATGAACGGCCCCTGTCACACGGGCAGGAAACTGCAGAGGAGAAGTGTGGCTGTTTGCCCCGGGGCAAACTAACATGCAGTAAAGCGATCAGACCTACTGTGGAGGTTCTGTGGAGGTACTGTGGAGCTTCCGTGGGTAGGGAGAGGTGCCGATCACAACACACGCCTGCGCGCAATGAAGAAGCGCACGGCGAACTGGTGTTCTTTTTTTGTGTACACTACGAATGCGCATGCTCCGTTGGGTTTGTGTGCGCATCCACGGAGACTTGGGGGGGAAAAAACCCTTTTCCGCAAGGGGACATGGGCGGGCGCCGGATGCCACCGGAAACGCGATCAGACGCCCGCCCTTGCCCCGCAGTTTCTGGAAACTAGTACCTCCAAGGTACTAGTTTTTTGCTGCGCTTTTTCGGCAGGAAGCCTCAGTTGTGCCACGGAAGCGCTACGCTTCCCAGATGTGCTGGTGAGATCGCGACCAGAAACTCCGTATCTCTTGCGTGGCTAATGTTGCGTGTGACCGCAGCCAACGTATACCAACCTACCTCCTAAGTAAAGGAGAAACTATTTTTATATTTCTGTATTCTAAAGGAACTTGATTGCTAGTGTGAGTGTTTTGTGTGTATGTGATTTTGATATTATTCAGTAAAAGACAAATTGTTTTGGAAAATACCAGTCTTGTCTCTTTCACTGGGACCTACCTGGGGTGGATTCGGACCTCCGTAAACTTTGGCAAGAACTCACGTTAAATTTAGTTGCCATCTGCTGTACATAAAGCAGTTTGGCTAACAGCATGCTTCCATATGCTATCAGGAGGCTTTTTGAAGTTTATTTTATTTCTGTTTTAATTTAAACATTTCCCCCCCTGCATCCCTAGGGAAATCCTTGAGGCATGCTGAAACCTCCATCTCGCCACTGGCTGCATAATAAACATGGGATCAACCATGTTTATAATTAGAAGAGGAAACTGGCTGCTGTTTTATTATTTTTTTAAAAAAATAGTGCTGGATATTGGTTTAATTGCTGCTATGTCTTTTCCTTTTTTGCTTAATTGCTTTTCTTGGGCTTTATTATTACACCTTTTCTATTTTTAATGGTGAGCTGCTTTGAAGACTCTAAAATGTTCTGAATAAATGAAATAACTTTTAAACATGTGCTGAATTCTCCCATTCAAGGGACTCTAAAATTATGCTTAATTTTAGCACCCAAAATAGAGTTTACAGAAGTGATCCCCAGACTTCAAAAGGGAATTAGATAAGCATATGGAGCAGAGGTCCATCAGTGGCTATTAGCCAGCCACAAGGTATAGATAGGGGCTCTGGGGCAAGTGATGCTCTGTCTTCTTGGTGCTTGGGGGGGGGTCAAGAGTGGGAGGGCTTCTAACGTGCTGGCCCCACTGGTGGACCCCCTGATGGCACTGGTATTTCTGGCCACTGTGTGACACAGAGTGTTGGACTGGATGGGCCTTTGGCCTGATCCAACATTGGCGTCTCTTATGTTCTTATGACTCATTGAACAGAAAACTTACCATATGAGAAGGTTTGAAACGGAGTACAGAGCCCTCGTTCTGGGACCTTTTCTTCCACAAATGTTGAGATTTTTGAAGTCTGGTTTTTCCATAGGCCTTCAGGTTCTTTCAATGTATGATTGCACTGAGAACCTTTGAATCAATGAGAGTGGAGAGTATTTCACATGAACCAAATGGAATATCGACATGTGTTTCTGTAGCAGTTAACTAGGAGTACCAGGCCTCAGTTCTATCATTCACACTTTGTTTTTGTGCAGAAGTATTGTTCCTACTCCCCCCCCCACACACACAAAAGGATATGATTTCCAGCTTCTGTGCCCTATGCCACTCAAAGCAGCACCAGGATTTTTTTTTTAATGGCTGCCAGGGAGCTGGTGTGATGTCACTTCCAGGGAAAACCTGGAAGTGAAATCCACCATTTTTAGCAATCACTTGAAACTATGGTTTCACCATAATTTTTCTGGCAACTTCTAGGAAGATGTGGCACCACTTCCAGTTTCCCTGGAAGTGAAATCATACTGTTGCTGCCGGCTGTTCCTCCATGTCCCTGCTCCTCGGGCTCTCACTGGAGACCAAAGACCAAGTACTTCTGAGCATGTGCAGAGTGCCCTTCCTTTGTGTAGAAAATTATTCCTGCTTGCTTAGAGAACATCCGGTGCCTTACATTTCACTTTCCACTTGCTTGCCTCGATAGTGGGTTCCCTATATTAACATATTAAGCTGACTTATACTGAACCAGGTGATTGGTCCCTCAGTAGGGATGGGTATGAACTGGCTCACAAACTAAAGTTCATCATGAATTTTGGCTGGCCCGTGGTTCACAAAACAATGTTTGTGAACTGAAGAGCCACCACGAATTTTTATGCAGTTTGTGGTGGTTCATGAAGAGCAGAAAGCAGTGGTTTAAATGGCTTGGGGCCATTTAAACCCCTGCTTTCTGCTCTGTTTGGTTTAAATGGCTTTCCCACACAGCTGACTCTGAAATGCTGTTGACCTTGTCCCAGGCGGTTTCTTAGCTAGCATGATGCTGAGGTAAGTGAGCTAAGGATTTGCCCACAAACCTTCTCTGCGGCCTTCCTGTGCACCCTTGTCTCACACACTCGCTTGCAAGTGCTCCACCTCCTGTGCTCCTAGCTACCTGGGTGGCCTAGCATGGGCGGGGATAAGTGTGTGGATGGTGACAATCACAGCTGTGGCACTCCCAGCTGCAGAAACCTGCCAGCACCATTGAGGAAAGTGGCATGTAGGTGCAGGCCCATAGCTATAGTGGGGCATTTTGAGACCATGCCCCCTCACCCGTGAGCCACGCCCCACCATCCACACCCCTGACCCATGCCCTACCACCCCCGCCCAAAAGGCCGGCTAGTGTACGAGTGCCGGCTGCACTTGTTTTCCTTGCTACATGTGGCTCTCTGCTGGGAGGGGTGTCATGAGCAGGCAGGGGGAAGGATGCACAGGCAGGTGGGGGGGTGTGGGTGGGGGCAGGAAGGGAGGAGTTAGTAGGGGTCCTGGAGGTGGGATAGGAGGGAAGGCCCCCCCCCTGAGCTCATCAGAACTTGGATCCAGCCCTGTACCGAAGGGTAACCATACTCAGGGGTCATTTCCTGTGGGAGCGCACAGGAGCAGAGCTCCGGCAGTAAGGAGCCCAGGGGGCGGGCACATGCAACAAGCCCCGCCCCCTGCTCCCAGCAGCCCTCATGAGGAGCAAGAAGCAGCCAGGTAAATTGCAGAGGCCCCCCCCCCGCCTTCAGGTACAAGCTCTCCCTCCTCTGTGAGGGCAGATCTGTGTATTCCCCCCACCCATAGCTATCAATTCAAAACAGTCCAGTGGAGCCTGAGCGGTGGATGTTGCCTTCTGACACACTTCTGGTGAGGTCAGGGGCTGTGGCATATGCAAATAAGTTATGCTAATAAGTTATTCTACTGAGCTCCTGCACCTCTTTTTATATGAAATGACCCCTGACCATACTGATGAACCTGACTGTGACTACTGGAGTTGGGCCTGCTTTCCCAAGAGTGTAAGCTTATGCCCCCCAAAATCTTGTTGGCCTGTAAGGTGCTACTGCACTCGAATCTAGCTGTTCTGCTGCAGGACAACGCAGCTACCCTCTGAAAACTCTTTTTGGAGTCGTGCATCAAAACATCTAGACCGAATGGTTATGTGTATTTCCGTCTGTTACCTTAACAACAAATGCTGACTGTTGCCTTTTTTATCCATTACTCAACCGCCATTTATCTGTTACTCAATCACAATCACTCAATACATTATTTGGAAGGAAGTGGTGAAACTATCTTTCTTCAGAAATTCTTTCTTCTTGGAGTACTTCAGTCAAGCTTCATTAGCTTGTAGAATGGAAACCTCATCTAAGAATATGCTTCACTGATTTGTTTCCTAAAAGCTTCCTTCAATCAAGCTCAAAGAAATACTAGGAATATCACATATCTGGGTGTGTTCGTAAAAAAAAAGCTGAAGGCTCGTGCAGCCTCAATTTGTCTTGGGCAGGGGTAGTTTCATAGAAAAAGAGCTAGGGGAACTCATTAGCATAACTCATTAGCATATGCCACACCCCCTGACATCAGGGGCCCAGCGGTGGACCTGCAAGGCCAGCGGGAGTGCGGGGAAGCCCCACCAAGGCCCTCCCTGGCCCCAGGCAGGCAGGGGTAAGGAGAGGCGTGGAGGAAGCAACTTACCCTCCCTCTTCTCCTGCCTCCTCCTGGCTGAATGAGGGCCAGAAGAGGGGCGGCCAAAAGCAAGGGGCGGGGCATCGTGTGCCCCGCCCCCTCACACCTCACCCGGGGGAACTGCGATCCCTCACGATCCCCCCCGAAATGACCTCTGGTCTTGGGGATGTTTTTCAGCAAGAAGAGAAGAAGGAGAGAGAGATTGGATTTATACCCCACCCTTCACTATCCAAGGGAGTCTCAGAACGGCTTACAAACTCCTTCCCCTTTCCCTCCCCACAACAGACGCCCTGTGAGGTAGGTGGGGCTGAGAGAGCTCTGACAGAAACTGCTGTGGTGCCCTGGCACGGATGGACGGGTCCTCCCCGCCCCCAGACGCCATTTCCGAGAGTCGTCCCTGACTCCCAGGGGAACGGAGGCCTCAGAAATGGGGGTTGGGCTCCCAGGTTTCGTCACCATGGCTAGCCCTTATACCCCCCCTGCACAAGTCTTTGGGAGGTGTTTGCCGGGTTGTCTCTCTCTCCGACCTCGGGCCTGCATGCTCCCTGGTCGCAACCAGGCTGTGTTCTTCCTCCCCGGCCTCCTTCCATGTTCCCCTTTTATATCCTCCCCCCAGCTGACCCTCGTCCCATTGGACACCAAGGTGTCAATCAAGCATGGTCCCGCCTTCGTATAAAGGCTCAGACGCCCAGCCGGTCTCCCCGAGGCCAGCCCTCCGGCCCCAAACCTGGGGGCACGCCCGACGACGGAGAGGTTGCGCCGCAGTCCGGCACCTCCCCCAAGCTCGATCCTCCCCCTCCCAGCCCGGCATCGCCACCTGGCTCTCCGGCCCAGGGCCCTCGTGTGCTGCGGTGAGTGGGGGTTGTGAGGCAGAGGGTGGGGGTTCTCGGGAGAGGCCCGGGACGTCAGGACCGGGACAACTGCTCTTTTTCAAGGACAACTTCTTATCAGAACTACGGCTTGCCCAAGGTCATCCAGCCAGGTACAAGTGGAGGAGTGAAGAATCAAACCCGGTTCTCCCAGATTAGAGTCTGCGCACTTAACCACTACACCAAACTGGCAAGCCAGTTCTGCAGCAGTGGGATCAGCTGCCTCAGGAGGTGGTGAGCTCCCCCTCACTGGCAGTCTTTAAGCAGCATCTGGGCAAACACTTGTCAGGGATGCCATAGGCTGATCAGAGCAAGGGGTTGGACTGGGTGGCCAGTAGGGCCCCTATCAACTCTGTGATTCTATGATTCTGTGTGCTAGGGCAGGGGATTTAATCCATCACCCTCCACTCAGTTTTGCTGTTAGGAAAAATGTATTCTTTGAAAATAATATAACTTCTATTAGACATATTATGGGCATGTTTTAAAATGTCAGGTGATACGGTTTCCAAAGAATTAAAACATTTTAAATCAATTGCATTGATTTTCCTCTGGATCTAAACCTCCTGGATCTCCTGCCTACAGATTGGACCCAATGGAGTGTTTCCATGGACAGAAGGATTCTCATCCATGGAGCACAACTTCCTGGGCTCTCCCTCCGATTGCAGCCTTGATGGTTTCCTGTATGTGTCTAAGTAGCTGGGCTCCATGTTAGTGGTAAACAGAATGGGGGGGGGATGTTGTTGAACTAAAGAAACTCCTAGGAGAAACTCAGACACCTCCAAATGCCTGTGGGTGAGCGCAAGAAAAAGTAATTTGTATTAAAAACAAATCATTAAGTACCATTGAAAGTGAGGGCAAGACAGTTTTACCTTTGGGTATACATATATATTTTTAAAATAAAGATTAACAGAATATCTAAGGATGTTTGTAAACATCTGAGGATGTTTTGGCCCTGGCCTCAGCCTGGTGGAACTCTCTGCCAAATGACATCCGTGCCCTGTCTGGCCTACTAAAGTTTTTCAGGGCTTGTGAGGCAGAGATGTTCCGCCAGGCCTTTGGGTGAGGTGAGCGATGGTGGTTCCTCACATCCGCCCGGCACACCTTCCCCCCCCCCCCATTACTGAACGCTAGGTATGCCATCTTGTTCTTAAAAAGTTTTCAAATACTTATGTTTGAATATTTTTAATATTGAATTGTTATGGCTTTAATTGGTTTTATAATGTGTTGAATTATTCTGTTGTAAACTGCCCTGAGCCCCGTGTAAGCGAGAAGGGCGGTTGAGAAATCTAATGAAATAAATAAATAAATACCATTTGGTCTATTGACAACAATCACACATTATACTGGAAGGCCCTTTAACATGTGTATTCATGTTCTTGGTAAGGAATAGGGATGCTAGGCCCTGCCTGGCAACCTGGGTTGCCAACCTCCAAGTGGTGGCTGGAGTAGGGTTGCCATACCTACCTGTTGCTGCAGCGGGGGACTCCCAGCTGGGTCCTGGAGTGCGTATGTGAAGTGCGCATGCGCCACAACCACGTCACCCAGAAGTGATGCGATCATGCCGGGCACGCTGGGGGCGGGGCCACGACCATCTGAGGGAAAACAATAGCCGTTTCCCTCGGATGACCGTGGCCCCGCCCCCAGCGTACCCGGTGTGGTCACGTCACTTCCGGGTGACGTGCATGTCGTGTACTTTGGGGGTGGGGTACACATCGTGTACTTTGGCCGTGCTACACCTGCTCCATGCTCAGAAGATGACCAAAAAAAAACCCCTCCAGGGTCCCCAATTGCTTCCTGAGCCCAAAATGGTGATCAGCATTTCCCTGGGCATGTAAGAAAGGGCCACAAGAACTAAGCACTGATGCTACCCTTCCTGCTAGGGTTGACAAGTCCCAAAAACTCACCGGCGGGGGAGGCTCGTGGGGCTCCGGGAGCCATCTCCTGACGCACGCGAAGCGTGGGCGCGCCACTAGCACGTCAACGGAAGTGACAGTCCTACCTGTTGCTCCAAAGCGGGGGTTTACCTGCCCAATGTTCCCTCTAAGCTGTGGAGTCTTGTGAGCAAAAATTCTACTTTGTGAGCTACTGGCATTAAAGTTGTGAGCAAGCGATTTGGCTACTGCATAAATTAGTTTGCTCTGGAGCCATCCTTCCTGAGCTGAGACGAAAATGTGTGAGCCAGAGGCTAACAAACTGTGAGCTAGCTCACACTAACTCAGCTTAGAGGGAACACTGCCTGCCACCTGCCCCCACTTGGCAGACCTACTTCCTGCCCTCCCTCTCATGATCTGCCTAAATTCACATAATCATCATGTGAGATTGTTTCTCAACCTGACTTAGTAAGAATTTTACCTGACAAAATGATAACAGTCACAACCAGCTTCAGGGTAAGGCTTCCCAGCATCAAAACCCCCAGGATGATTTTCCACCGGTGGATCTTCAAAGAAGAGGCTGTGGAATTAATGTTCATGCTGAAATGGTGACAATGGAGAACAACACTAACTTTAACACCCCCTCTGGATCCAGTGGTGCAGTTAGCTGGGTTTAGAGTCTGGACTTTATGGTCTTATACTCCCCTCTCTTTAGATGATGCGGGGAAACACTGCTTGCAAGCACTGATGGCTGGTAATCAAAAGTGGCTAGGGATAAAAGCCTAACAACAGGATAAATTCTAATGGGTTACAATATGTTAAATTAACAAAGCTTTCATGCATTCCAATGTAAATAATGTTTAAAAGTCCATTAAGACCTAATGTGTTCAGCCACACAGCCTTCCTCAGTGGTAAAAAGGTAAAGGTTCCCTTGCTCGAAAGCCAGTCGAATCCGACTCTAGGGTTGCGGTGCTCATCTCCGTTTCCAAGCCGAAGAGCCAGCGCTGTCCGAAGACGTTTCCATTGTCATGTGGCCGGCATGACTCAACACCAAGGCACACGGAATGCTGTTACCTTCCCACTGAAGTGTTACCTATTTATCTACTTGCAATTTCTTGCTTTCGAACTGCTAGGTTGGCAGGAGCTGGAACTAGAGACAGGAGCTCACTCCGTCACGCAGCACACTCAGGTCTCGAACTGCTGAACGACTGACCTTCCACAGCCTGCTGTTCAGCATCTTAACCACTTGAGCCACCGCAGCTCCTTCCTCAGTGGTAAAAATTATTAAAATACACATCATGAAGTAAAATTATTAAAAATACAAAATACAGCATCTCTGGCCTAAGCTTTAAAACACACACAAGAAGTAGGGCCGGTTCCTGCCCTTCCCGCCCTTAATTTAAACCCATTATTTTGAGTCCTATCCTCTGCTGTCAACAGCAGGAACAGCTCCCTGCCCTCCTCTAAGTGACAGCCCTTCAAATGCTTAAAGAGAGCAATCATGTCCCCCCTCCCCCTCGACCTTCTCCAGACTAAACATTCCCAAGTCCCTCAGCCTTTCCTCATGGGGGCTTGGTCTCCAGGCCCTGTGAATCATAATGAAGGGAATGAAGGTACCTTGAGTCCCATCAGAAGGTGGTGTGTGAAGCTCCTTTCTTCTCCTGAGCCCAGGATCTTTCTGTGAATCTCTGCCTTCCATGTTCACACTCCAACAACTCCTGAGAGACTAGAATTTTCAAGAATGAGGATCCCAAGAATTACTTAAATAATGTGAGAACAAAGCTTGCGTCCAGCAGCACCTTTAAGACCAACAAAGTTTTATCCATGGTAAAAGCTTTCATGTGCAAGCACACTTCCTCAGATACAGTGGAACAAAACCTCCTCATTACTTATAGGGGGTGGGGTGGGAGTTGTCAGGAAGGGCCATATAGAGTCAAGATGCATAAGTACTGGGTGCTTATAGCTGAGATAGGATGTACGAAAGAAACAACATGAGTTTGCAAAATGCCACCGGAAGATTTTGCAAGACTGGCACATGTGCCAACTTCTTCCGCTCAAATACTTTTATCTGTTTATTTTATTTAAAACTTTTTAAAACCGCCTTTCCACTTGATCAGGGTCTGCGAGGCAGTGAACATTTTTAAAAAAGCATTAAAACATTTCAGCAATTAAAGTACAGTTAAAAATTATAAAATAATTTAATTAAAACGCATTAACAAACAACACTAGAAGGAGGGTCAGTAGCTTTCGTCAGGGTATGAGAGAGAAAACAAGTCTTCACACCAATTGAGGGAGACGCAAAATAGCTTCCAGGGAGTGGCCTAGAGATTCTCCAGAATTAGAACTGATTTCCAGACTATAGCGTGGTGGTGGAAAGTGCTGTCAAGTCACAGCTGACTTATGGCAGCCCTGTAGGGTGTTCAATTCAAGAGATGTTCAGAGGTGGTCACGACCCTGATGTTCCTTAGTGGTCCCCTTCCGAATACTAGCCAGGACCAACTCTGCTTAGCTTCTGAGATCTGAGGAGATCGGGCTAGCCTGGGCTATCCAGGTCAGGGCAGGCTGCACTGCAGGGTATCCTGGAGGAAATGGCTACTTCAGAAAGCAGCGCTCCCTCCCCTTCCCCAAACTCCTCCTTCCCCAGGCACTGCCCCCAAATCTTCGGTGATTTCCAAACTGGAGTTGGCAACCCTAAGCAGACACACCAAGGGTGTGAACTGTACTTGCTGTTGGAAATGAAGGACTTTACACTGTCTCTTACCCTCAGACATCAGAGGGGAAATATAGCGAACCAGTAGGCTTGCCAAGTCCCCCCGGGGGGCGGGGAAACCGCCGCCCCAGAGGCCCGTTACCTGCTGCCGGTGGATCGGGCCCCGGGGGGAACCCCACCCCCAAAGCACGCAACGTGCCCAGCGCCAGCATGTCACCCGGAAGGGACGCGGGCGCGTCGGGCGCGTTGGGGGCGGGGCCGTGGTCATCCGAGGGAAAACTATATGGTTTTCCCTCGGATGATTGTGGGGCCCCCCCCAGCGTGCCCGACATGGTTGCGTCACTTCCGGGTGATGTGGTTGTGGTCCGCGTGCGCTTCGCCCGCATGCACGCACTTCCGAAGCAGCACTGGAGTCCCCAACTTGGCAACCCTACGAACCAGAGAGAGAAAGAGACAGGTAGAGCCTTGTGCATCCTTCCTTTCTCCTGCTCTGCTGCTATCCCTTTGAGGTGCAGATTGCGATTGCTACCCTCAGGGAATCTGCCTTCCTTCCAGCCAGCTCTTTCTCTTTCCCTCTCTCCATCTTGCAACCCTGAAGGCAGGACACACTTCCGGCATCTCCATCCATCCAGTTAGTGGGAGTAGATTAGAATCCTCTCTCTATCCTGTCCAGAACGGAGTTCCTTACAACAAAGGACTCATATTCAGCAGCCAGGCTGTTGATGGGTCTCCCTGTGTGGGACCATATCCAGCCTGTGCTGAAGGCATTGCACTGGCTGCTGATAGCATACCGGATTCGCTTCAAGGTGCTGGTTTTGACCTTTAAAGCCCTATATGGTCTGGGGCCTGCTTACCTGAGGGACTGCCTTTCCCCACATGTTCCCCAGACAGCACTGAGGTTGGGGTCTCAAAATCATTTGGCCCTCCCTGGACTGAAAGACGCCAGACTGGCCTCTACCAGGGCCAGGGTCTTCTTAGTAGCGGGTCCATACTGGTGGAATGAGCTCCCAGAAGACATAAGGCCCCGTGGGAAATTTTACAGTTCCGCAGGGCCTGCAAAACAGAGTTCTTCCACCAGGCCTTGGATTAGGAGCTGCTACCAATAACAACTGAACTGTGGTAAGGCCCTCTATGCCAACACCAACAGCCTGTGATATACTGGATACTGACTCTGGCCATACTCCCTTGTCACCATCTTACCATGACCTATTGGGATCACTATGTAATGTTATACCGCCACCGGCACTTTATTTGTTATGTACAGGAGTTTTATGATGTTTCATCTGTGTTTTAATGCATTTTAACTTTTAATGTAAGCCGCCCTGAGCCTGCCTGGCAGGGAGGGCAAGATATAAATCTAATTAATTAATTTAATTAATTAAATTTGCTAGGTTAAAAGTGTTTTCCCAGCAACACACAGATAACACACACCACACAAATCCTGCTTGCCATGTGCACTCTGCCAATTCCATTGCTTGCTACATATTGCAGTCAGTTGGACTGATCGCCAGCTAGTATAAAAGCCACCCTACAGATAATAATGATGTGTCCCAAGGCTTCTCGTTGGACTTCTCATTTTAAAAAGTTTCTAATTCATAAGGTAAAAAGCGTGCTGCAGGGCCCAAAATATCCAGCGATGAGAAATGGGCAGAGTAGCTCTGTAGATCTGCTACAGTGCTAATGTCAGTGGAATTTAGTATCCTTGTAATCCTCCATCCAGTATGTGTGGGCCTATAGGCTTGCACTGGAATAAACTGTGCCTGGAGTGTGTACAGGTGATACATGACAACCTGGTAGGGTGTCACTGGCGGGGGATGGGGAGGTAAGGGTGCCAGATCCAGGTTAGAGATTTGGTGACTGGGCCTAGGGAGGACAGGGACCTCGGCGGGGCACAATGCCATAGAGTCCACCCTCCAAAGCATCCGTTTTTCCCAGGGACACTGATGTCTGTAGTTTGGAGAAGAACTGTAATTCCAGGGGATCCCCAGGCCCCACCTGGAGGATGGCATCCCTACCCCCTGATTAAAAGCCACAGGGGGACCAAGAGGCCTGGAAGTGTTCTCTCCCTTGAACAGAGGCTTAGAATGTGGAAATGGCCAGTCAAAGCTTCTCATGGAGGTAAATAAAAGCTCGTTCACATCCCTACTCTCTCCTTACCACAGCTTACCATTTTCCCAGTCTAAATCACTTCCCGAAAACGGTATTTGTCCTGAAGGGGAGAAAATAACACTTACAGAGGCATTACTGGTATTGCTCTGCTTTGTGAGGCTTACTGCAGCTTTGGACTTGTGTGGTTTTAGATTAGAGAGAGAAAAAAATGAAGGGAAAGCTTTAAACAAGACCTACCCGGCGCAGTGTTCCATGCACCTTGGTGTTTAGTCATGCCGGCCACATGACCACGGAAATGTCTTCGGACAGCGCTGGCTCTTCGGCTTTGAAACGGAGATGAGCACCGCAACCCTAGAGTCGGATTCGACTGGCTTTCAAGCAAGGGAACCTTTACCTTTACTTTACCCGACGCCACAAGGTATAGATAGGGACTCTGGGGCAAGTGATGCTCTGTCATCTTGGTGCTTGGGGGGGTCAACAGTGGGATGGCTTCTAATGTCCTGGCCCCACTGGTGAACCTCCTGATGGCACCTGGTATTTCTGGCCACTGTGTGAGACAGAGTGTTGGACTGGATGGGCCTTTGGCCTGATCCAACATTGGCATCTCTTATGTTCTTATGTTCTTACAAGGTGGGCCTCACACACGGTGTTATCCCATTGCATGAAAATAGTTTAGGCAGGGGAAGGGTGATTGGCCTTAGTCAGCTCCATGGCTAAGCAGGATTTGGGATCAGACCTCCCTGGCCCTACATGCTATCATGCAAGTTCTCATACCGTATTTCATATCATCACAGTAGTTTAGGGGGAAACATGCTGTTTTCTTTCTATAATGAGACTTGTCATGGGAAGTATCAGATAGCGTTCCTGTTTCCAGGCACAATGCAGAATTCTCAGAATGTCTAAAGCACTGGCATCCGCTCAGCTATTCAGAAAGTGGATGGGGCCATTGTAAGGGGGAGTTTGTTGTTGACTGACTTTGTTTGACAGTTGCAATAGTGGCCACAGCCACTGGACAGTGGGAGGACTGGTAAGCTCCTGGGCTATCCTTAATCTCTGTGTGGCTCTATTCCCCCCCCCGCCCCCCCTCAGTCTTTCCTCCTTTTCCAAGCTTGCTGTTCTCCCAGTGGATGGACCCAGTGTTCCCTCTAAGCTGAATGAGTGTGAGCTAGCTCACAGTTTTCTAGCCTCCAGCTCACACATTTTTGTCTTAGGTCAGGAAAGATGGCTCCAGAGCAAACTAATTTATGCAGTAGCCAGATCGCGTGCTCACAACTTTACTGCCGGACCTTCGAACTTCGTCCCGTCTGGTGAGTCATGCCTAGGGTGTCTTGCGGGGTTTGTCAGGGTCCCCGGGGCTCGTTCTGCACGTCCCGTGACCTCTGGAACGTGACAGTCCTGAAACTATGTCCCAACCATTTCATTGGATGCCCCTGAGCTCAAGCTTTACAAGAAAGGGAGAAAAGGCTCTGTTTACCTCTTCCACTCCATGCATAATTTTATAAACCTCTATCATGTCTCCCTTTAGCCATATTTCCTTCTAAACTCTCTAGTCTTTCCCTTATCATAGGAAAGGTGCTGCAACCTCCTAATCATCTTTGTTGCCTCCCTTTGTACTTTTTCCAGCTGTGTAATATCCCTTTGGGGCCGCGGTGGCTCAGTGGTTAAGATGCTGAGCTGCAGACTGGAAGGTCGGTAGTTCGTCAGTTCAAGACCCGAGTGCTGCGTGACGAAGTGAGCTCCCGTCTCTGGTCCCAGCTCCTGCCAACCTTAACGTTTCGAAAGTAAGAATTTGCAAGTTGATAAATAGGTACCGCTTTGGTGGGAAGGTAACAGCATTCCATGCACCTCAGCGTCTAGTCATGCTGGCCACATGGCCATGGAAAAAGACTCCAGACAGCACTGACTCTTCGGCTTGGAAACGGAGATGAGCACTGCCCCCTAGCGTCGGATTCGACTGACTTTTGAGCAAGGGAAACTTTTACCTTTACCTT